AATAATATACAGATTAAGATGCAGTGAGCATGCTAGACTAATAATATACAGATTAAGATGCAGTGAGCATGCTATACTAATAATATACAGATTAAGATGCAGTGAGCATGCTATACTAATAATATACAGATTAAGATGCAGTGAGCATGCTATACTAATAATATACAGATTAAGATGCAGTGAGCATGCTATACTAATAATATACAGATTAAGATGCAGTGAGCATGCTATACTAATAATATACAGATTAAGGTGCAGTGAGCATGCTATACTAATAATATACAGATTAAGATGCAGTGAGCATGTTATACTAATAATATACAGATTAAGATGCAGTGAGCATGTTATACTAATAATATACAGATTAAGATGCAGTGAGCATGCTATACTAATAATATACAGATTAAGATGCAGTGAGCATGTTATACTAATAATATACAGATTAAGATGCAGTGAGCATGCTATACTAATAATATACAGATTAAGATGCAGTGAGCATGTTATACTAATAATATACAGATTAAGATGCAGTGAGCATGCTATACTAATAATATACAGATTAAGATGCAGTGAGCATGTTATACTAATAATATACAGATTAAGATGCAGTGAGCATGTTATACTAATAATATACAGATTAAGATGCAGTGAGCATGTTATACTAATAATATACAGATTAAGATGTAGTGAGCATGTTATACTAATAATATACAGATTAAGATGCAGTGAGCATGCTATACTAATAATATACAGATTAAGATGCAGTGAGCATGCTATACTAATAATATACAGATTAAGATGCAGTGAGCATGCTATACTAGTTTACAGATAATATAAAGTGTTAAAGTATAATATGTTGTTGATGATGATGTTGATGTTTGATGATGTTGTTGTGGATGATGATGTTGATGATGATGATGATGTTGTTGATGATTTTGATGATGATGATGTTGTTGATGATTTTGATGATGATGATAAGGTTGTTGTGGATGATGTTGATGAGGATGATTTTAATGATGATGATGTTGTTGATGTTGATGTTGTTGATTTGATGTTGTTGATGATGATGTTGTTGTTGTTGTTGTTGTTGTTGTTGTTGATGTTGATGTTGTTGTTGTTGCAGAATCCAGACCTCCCGACTGAAAACACAACAGACTGTCTGAGCACGATGGCCAGTGTGTGTAAAGTGATGCTTGACACACCGTGAGTCCCTACATGTTCCTGAATGCATCATCACAGCCGCCCGCTTCAGACATGAACTAACACTGTGTGTGTGTGTGTGTGTGTGTGTGTGTGTGTGTGTGTGTGTGTGTGTACGTGTGTGTGTGTGCAGGGAGTACCGCAGCCGTTTCACCAGTGACGAGACGGTGTTGTTCTGCCTCCGCGTGATGGTCGGGGTCATCATCCTATTCGACCACGTTCACCCGGCCGGAGCCTTCGTCAAGACCTCCAATATAGACGTATGTTCGCTGACTGAGTCGATCTAATCTGAGCAGCCTGATGGTTTATTTATTGCTGCTCATTCTGTCTCAACAACTTTTTATTAACGAGTTACTTTTACTTAACACGTCCATCATTACTTCTATTTCTTATTGATGATGTTTGTGTCATTAACAGAAATAATAACAAGCTTTATGTCAACGTGTTTGTTGATCATTTTCAGATGAAAGGCTGCATCCGAGTGCTGAAGGAGCAGCCGCCCAGCAGCGTGGAGGGATTACTCAACGCTCTCAGGTCTGACCGTCACTACACAACATCAACACAAACACACACAACAACACAACAACAACACACAAACCAAACGGGAACAATTAGAAAGTCACTGTGACGTTGTTCATGACTGTCATCTCATTATTAAAATCAAACACTCAGAGGGTCTGATTCACTAAGAATGGATTGCAGCCGCTAATATCTTCACGCAGTGTTCATCATCAGCTCTGTTCAGACACCGTTTCAAGCCGCAATATTTACGCTCCTGTGATGCTTCGCCTTCATTCTGAATGTAGTGGAGGCGTAATGGGAGGATGAAATGACCCCCTTTTTGTACTGTCTTCAGAGGTAGAAACAGAGGCGTTACAGAGGAGAGAGAGGATCAGCTGTGTGTGTGTGCATGTCTGACTGTGTGTGTATGTGGAGCCCCCGCTGTGCAGTGCTTCCCCACAGCAGAATTGGAGCTGCACTCTCACTGACGGAGCTGCATGCTAACGCACAGAGATGTTGTTTGCGCTGCAGCACAGTTAGGGGAGAATTTAACCCTTCGTGTGTTTTGTGCATTAAACGGTCTCTTTTTGACTCGTGCAAAGGTTTAGCAGGCGCAAAAGCTGGTCAACTCCTTTGTGAATCAGGCCCTCAGTGTTTAGAATATTGAAGCTTTATCTTTGACTTTTTTGGGTACGATTTCTCTAAACGTCCACGAGTAGTTTGTTCTTTTTCTGACCTGATTTTCTGGTTGTTTTTGGGGTGTTGGTCATTAACGTCTCGCTCCGTCCCTGCAGGTATACAACCAAACATCTGAACGATGAGGCCACGTCAAAGCAGATCAAAAGCATGCTGCAGCCAAATTAACTCAAAGCTTCTTCTGAGTGAAACTGGAGCGATACAGGGAGACAAAGAAAAGTGTTGTGGTCCAAATTTCAAAAGAACTACTGAAAATATTTGTAGCTAATGACTCTTTGATTAACCTCAGTGTTTGTTTTGTTGTTTATTTTTTTACTCTGATTTTAAAAGCTGTTTTTTGTTGTCATAAAAAAGAAAAGAAAAATGATAAAAAAGAGAGTAAACTTTTCAGTTGGTTGATCCAAGAAAAGACGGTGTACAAACCAGCTGTTGTGTTTGAGCTGCATTCACGTCACATTTAACACATCTGTTCAGTGAAAAAAAAAAAAGATTCCTCTGCCCCCTAGTGGACATTAAGAAAAGCGCAGCTGGAGATGTTTCTGTTGTTGTTGTTGTTGTTGTTGTTGTTTTGTTTGCCTGCATTAACAAACATCCAGCAAGAGTCGCATACAGAAAAAACTGCGCGGGTTGATTACTTCAGAAGCGCTCTAAACGCCCCTAGAGGCGACAGTGTTCATTACATACACAATACAACGTTTTTGGACAAAGAAAAACTCACCCAAGGGTGTGGTGGACAGCCCAAATGCATTTGACAGTAACAATCTGACCTCCAGCTCTCACTGAGGAACAGACAATCCACGATGTCGGCGTCTCCTCAGACATTTCTTCACCCAAACTCTTTTTTTTTTAATGTTTTCCCCCTCTCTGCATAAAGCATTAAAATCTCAAATTTACCCACCGTGAGGTCATGTGAGGGGGCGGCTTACCCTCTGCACGATAATCTTAATGAAAGCCTTTGGTATATGATGTGTCATTATTTTCGTATCAGGTAGTGTGAGCATGCTTTGAGATTATAAAGAAGATCTGTTAAGATTCTCCTGATGTGCTCGACGGATTTTTAAACTCCTGTCAACTGCAGCTGGGTCTGCTTGAATCTAAAGGGCTGAGCATGACGACAAAGCTGGGGTCGATTTGTCGTCTTGAACGTGTTCTGATCGTGACGTGAATGCAGTTTGAATGTTTTTAAGTAGCACTGATCTGTTTGCTGTCATTTGTTTAAGTGTTTTAATGACTTTGGAGTCTGATTGAATCAAAACTTCAGACACTTTCATACCAAAAGAACCGTTTCCAAGAACCCGGGGACTTCCCCACTGGAGGAACCGTGTTCTGGTTTGATTCCTCGGCTGCAGTTCCTACCTCAGAATAAAGACTGTGGCTGAGGTTGACTTTTACAGACATGAACGTAACTGATTGGTAAAGGGGAAACGACTGTTAATTAGAAGGTGAAAGGTCATAATTATACATTTCACCATCACGTAGAACTGTAGACAAATTCACAAACATTTCAGCTCCTTGTTAATATGTTTGAAGCCCAAAACATCATATTCTTAATTTTAGCTATGATACGGCTAACACTGTAAAAAAACAAAGGACTGGCTACCAAAGATTGGTTTGTGAAGAGGAGAACGACTGTGATGAAGAGAAGCGATACTGATGGGAGGAAACCCTCCGACTGATGTTTGAATCAGTGGGACAGCTGACTGGAATTAAAGCTCTTTGTATTGCCTTGTGTGTTAAAGCTGCAGCGTCAGCGGCGTGGTTGTCATGATGCCGCGATATTAAACTTTGGTACGATTCTCGTAAATCTGACGATATTGATACCTGTTTGATACCACGGCAACAAAAATAGAAATATTAGACACCCAGGGTTGGGTAATATCTTGTTTTTAACGACCAAAATTTGCAGAAAAACGTCTTCGCACTGATTAAAGGAGCAGTATGTAACTCTGACACCTAGTGTTTAAAATGGGTACTGCAGTCTAAATTCAAAACATTACAGAGAGCTGCCCCCCCCCTCTCTAGAGTTGATGCTCACGAATGGTTGCCATGTGGTGGACACCGAAGCTTCAGTGTTTAGCCAGCTCTGCATGGGTCTGATCCCAGTCAGGTCCAAACAAATCCAGAGCATTCAGGACCAGAATCTAAAGTTTGAAGGAGGACATACTGGACGTTTCAGTCACTACAGATCTTACTGATTGATCCTTCAAATTTCATAAAAACATTGTCATTTGTTTTCATCGCGAAATGTTGCCAATGTTTTTGTGCAATTTCATCAGTCTGGAGGAGTTTGCGTGCAATTTTTGATCGACTTTTTCGTCTCCTAAACACCTGTCTGATGTAAGAATGTAGTTTTCTAAAGAATTCGGTACTCATTAATACTATCAATCATTAAAATCACAGGGATTGTATTGTTTTAGAAGACGTGGTATCAAACAAGTATCAGAGAATCGTCATTTTTACAACCCAAGTGTCAGGGATTGTATGGCATTAATGTTTCAAAATTATGAAATGTTGGCTGAATAAAGTTTTTACATTTTTAAGAAAAAGTTTCTTCTCCTGTTTTGTAACATGGATAAATGATTAGTCAGGGTCCTGTCAGGGGATTCAAACCAGGAACCTCCTTACTGTGAGTGGACAGAGCTAACCACTGCATCACCGTGCAGCCTTAACCCCAAGGTGACATCAAATTAAAACAAAAGAAAAAAACTGAGAAAAGATTTGTTAGACTGGAGATGTTTTGGGAGATATAGCAGCGTGTCATCAGCGTACGACAACATTTTGACCAAGTGTACTGGGGCTAATTGGGACCAACTTGAGTAAAAAACAATCAACCCCATGAGATACTAGTTAGTCTAGTTAGTTTGTTTTGCCAGGAGGCCACATTATCAAGAAAACTGATCTTCAGATCTCTGGTATTTTACCTTCCAAAATAATGTTGATTAGTTGTCTCTTTTGTTGTTTGTGGAACAGTTGATGTCGTCATCTTCTCCTGTCAGTATTTAAAAATCCCCCCCAACACTCATTGTTTCACTTCTGCTTTTCAGTCGACACAAACGTCCTCCGGCTATGTAATTGTTGTTACTCTGTCTGGCTCATGGTTCTGCTGACTTTGTGTATTCACGTCTAAATTTATAATCTGCGTATGAATTTGTTTTTCCCCCTCTGGGTCTCAGAAGTGAAACCACGCTTCATCTTTAACTTCAACTTTATTGTCCCCAAGGGGAAATTTGTTTTTCAGCCAGGTGAAAACAAGAGACATCTAGAAACACAGAGACATCAGAAACAACATGAAAACATGAAACACATGAATACTAGAGTTCATCTGGTAACAACAGGAAACGGAGAATGTATAAAAACGGCCATAAAACCGTCATTTAAACCAAACTAAAACTCATCATCAGGGTCATCATTGGAGTTCAGTCATTTGATGGCCTGAGTTATGATCTGTCTTTCCTGCCTGAGGACAGAGGATGACAGAGAGCGCTGCATCTCTCTTTCTGAAGGTGAGACACAGATCAGGTAATTTGATCCCAATGATCTTACTATCAACTTTATGAAGGGAAAATCTCCAAACAGCCTGTTTGAGCACACATTTTCTGAAAAGTGGAGCAGGCAGAAGACAGAGAGGATGGACTTTTCTCATCATTGGGGGGTTTGTAGACGGACTAGAGACACATACTAGAGTTAGAGAAACATGGTGAAGTGTGTTTTGCAGAATATGTGACCTTTAAATGACCTTAAAAAGTCCAAAATGAATCTCGGCTGTTGATTCACAGATTAATAAGCAATCAGGGCCATTTAAAAAATGTAATACTGCATCTGCAATGCACAATGCAGCCTGGTGAGGGCGACAGAAGAGACGTCAGACATATCAACATGTCTTATGAAGTTTGTTTCTCACATTCTTATCTTTATTGTAAGCGTTTGAAGATTACGAGTGCTGTAAACTGGGTGGAGAGTGTGTGTGTGTAGGTGTGTGCGTCTGTGTTTGTGTCTGTTGGATTTCAGGAATGAGGCTCCTGTGTTTAAGGTGCGTCTAACCTGAGATCAAAGAGAGAGGAAGCTGTCAGCGGGACCTTTGTCTTTTTTATTTTTATCACACCGACTGTAACGGCAGCTCACCCTCGTCCTGCTGAAGACGATATCTGAGACTCGGAGCGCGGGGAATCTTCAAGGTTACTCTGACATATTTTGGTTAAACATTTTTCAGCTGTTATTATCGGCAGTCTGGAGCCAACAACTCAAATTCTGTTTCACTTTATTGGACACCCTGCAGCCTTTTTTAGGCCTCCAGGTCCATAATTGTAGTCAGTTCATTTGTGTTTTCTTTGTTGTTGAGTTTGTGCAGCCTTTTCCCCGCTGTTTTCAAAGTCAAAGTCAACTTTATTGTCAATTTCAAAATATGCCACACATACAGTGGAATCAAAATTTCGTTTGTCTCCGTCCCGCGGTGCAATACAACCAAAATAAGGTAAACTTAATCAAACTTGTTAACTTAATCAAAAATGTTGGCCAAAGTTATGATGTCACTTCCTGTGTTTTCACACATGCTTACAACTTCTTTCAACTAAACAGCTGATAAACAGAAGCTACTCTAGTTAGCACTCCTCACCAGCTCCAATCATCCCACATGACCGGTGTATCAGAACATCCCTTTGAGGCTCACACCAAACATCTCCATAATACTTGACTTTACCACCTTTACCGTCCATCACTCGTTGGGACCCTCCTACTATGGTCTAGCACCCGTTGCGAGAATGTGCAATTAAAGGGGCACAACGGCAGAAGTGCAGATATTGGGATAGGGCCTTTGTCTTGAAAAGTGCTGGAGCACACCATTTACCTAAGAATTAAAGGTCCAATCAGTAAGGTATACTGAGTTTTAAGACACCCCCACACGGCCGTTTTGGACACCCCTTGGTTTGCCAGATATGAGAGCAGTTATCAGGTCAACAGGTGTTGCAGCGATGGAAGCGGGCAAGAGAAGTGGTTCAGATAGAAGTGATTGTACCCGACCTAAAAAGCCTCTGCATGTTTCTAATAAGCTCCACGAGCAGAAACGTGCTCAAACTAGGATCAATATTGGAGATGCTTTTGAAAAATGGAGAGAGGTTAGAACACAGAAAGGTTTACAGACCCATGCAGAGCTGGATAAACACTGAAGCTTCAGAGTCCACCACATGGTGACCTGCCCTTATACATTTATAATATACATTTTTGTTACTGCAGCAGTGTAACTCCACTACGTACAATAAAGAATGCAATGAGGGGAAAAACAGATGAAGGGAACGAGGTCACGTTAAATGTAGAACATTCACAGGTGTGTTCTGGTTTAGAGAAAGAATCTGGAGCAGGTGACAGAGGCAGCGAGTCGGTGGGAGCAGCTCCACCTGTGTGAGTTTTATTATCTGTGTCTGATAATAAACCCACACTAAGGTTTAAATTTAACTCCCACAGGAGGAGGAAATCCGGTTTGATATTTATACCTGACCTGTTTCTACAGAGAGTTACTGACTTTGTTTGTCCCTGCAGACCACCGTACATGGCTTACAGGGACTAAACACACAGGTTTAATGCTTAAAATGTGAAGTCTGGGGCATGCAGAAATGTTTAAATCTTTTTTTATTAATTTGAATCTACAAACCCTCAGTCAACTTCAACACAGAACAAAGACACTATCAAACTAACTAATGAACAGAAGGACTGAGGGGCTGACTAAAGAGCCTTTCAGATTGGACGGGGTGTGGCGCTGCGCTCGCCGCGGAGTCGGGCACAGAGCAGAAGGGGCACGACAGGATTGGACAGAGTTTCGGCTCGTCCAGGAGCTGCATGATACTCAATGTC